GTAAGGTCATTTCACGAGCTACGTTTGGTCAATAATTGCGGCTCAAAATTCACAGCGCAGGAGCTGAATAATCTGATCCAGAAAAGCATATGTAATTTCGTACAAATTCAAATAAAAACTACAGAAGGGCGTCTTGAATACATTCTTTTTARTTTTAGTAGGAGAATTTGACGGYTCTAATCAAGTTAACGACGTTCGCGGGCAAATGTTCCCCCCTGAAACTTTGCATAGTGAAATAAGGTCATCATAAAACTTCCAAAGAGCAAATAAAAATGGGGGTTACCGAACTCACTTWGGAGTGAGATGATATGAAAGGGTGGCCGCGGCGTTTTTTCGTCAAAAATCATCCATAATTGTTTGCGCCTAATCCATAAGTCGAGSATTAAAGAATCCTAGTCAACCACAATGCACTGCGCGACTATGTTATTGTTTACAATGTTCACTAACATCGTTCTCGAAGCTTTTTCAAGCTCTGGTGGAGCAAAAGTTTTGCCAATTCGCTATACAAAATTCCTCAAAAATTCCCCTAAAGTTTTCTTACTTTCATTCCTCAACAAGTACAGGTTGTATTTTTCATTAGATCTTAGATCTTAATAGACCCCTTAATTCGAATGCAGCTCAATTTGGAGGACATAACAAAAGGTTTCCAATTCTCAGAAGATTGAAATTCTTTTGTTTTGTCCTCCAAATTGAGCTGCTTTGAAGTCCGATGCAAGGTATCTATTTCAACTTTATGACTTTTCGGTTGTCCAACTGGTAGCCATTGCAACTCTCGAAATCTACCTKAGATTCGTTGCCAAAATTTCTCAAATCTMGCAGAAAGCTTTAAGTGACTATGTACCATTATATCACCATGGTCGTAAATCATCCAGCAGGGATAACAAGACCAATGAAAGTGCATTCTAAAACTTAACCTTCAAATTAAAACCGCCATCAGTTTACCTGGCAGAGAAAATGGGGCATTGCATACCAATATTTATGGTTGTATATTGACAACTTGAAAATTTTGGCTCAAATTTGCCGCCACCATGAAACATTCGGTGACTCTTTGAAATGAGTGCAACGTAGATTTGAAGTTTTTATCCAACGTGTTTTCATTTTGAATTTCCCATACTCCCCCCCCCCCCCTAATTCCGTACATTGACAACTTACGGTATCTAACTTATTGCAAATTATTAAAACAGAAAAAATGGGGGGCAACGATGTTGTTCAATGTTGCTCTACCGACCTCGACTTCCAAATTCGTATTGGAGCAGTGTTTTGCCATTACAACATTTCTTTATAACGCTTACGTATGAGAAGACATGTGCATACATGAATATGGGTACAAGTCAAACAAAGAATCTTGTTCTCGTGGAAATAACACATGATTTAAAACAAGAAAACATTACGCGCAAGATAAAAGGGTATATACATTCATATGATCTTTATTTATCTATTCAATCATGTCAAGAAACAATATTTTAAAGTCATCAACTGAAAATTATTGCATTAGTTCGTCGTTATTTTTTTCAAATATTCAAGTTACTTTTAGTGAATATCTATCTATATATATTGTGTATCTTTACTCTCTGGACATTAAATCAAGCAATGTAATGGACGTGATTAGAATGTTGTTTGTTTATTGCGCAATATATATTTCAGAGGAGAAAGCGATCAAAGTTCGTCTGGTGGGAGATCAAAACCATACTGGCAAAGTAGAAATCAACTATCAAGGGACCTGGGGAGTAGTGTGTCATGATTTGTGGGATATACGAGATGCTCACGTGATCTGCAAAATGCTTGGTTACAAAGCAGCTGAACAAGCAATTTGGAATCTTGAATGAGAGACACCAAGAAGAGAGCTCATGTCTCGTGTGCGATGCAGTGGTAGAGAAAAGTCGATAGCAGATTGTGCTCACCCAGGATGGTGGATTGTCTCTTCATATTGCTCGAATAAAGATCTTGCTGGTGTGGTTTGTCAGACAAATGAAGGTAAGAAAGACAAATCTCTACTTTACTCTAATCATTCAAATATCATCACATCAAAGCCAATCATCTAAATAGTTCATTTGTTGATCAGATAATAGCTTTAGTAAACCTCTACTTATTCTCTTTCAAACACTTGTTCAAGTGTTAGTCGTACAATGACCTCAATGATGTTGGTACAAATCCACAGATCCTCCACCAGTTCAAGTTCGTTTAGCTGGAGGAAGGTCAGACAATTCAGGTCGACTTGAAGTCAGGTACCATGGTCAGTGGGGTACTGTATGTGATGATGGATGGGACATGAAAGAAGCTGAGGTGGTGTGTCGTATGCTTGGTTACCCTGGAGTACAGGAACACATAACCACCAACTTTACACCCGTCAAGGGTATAGTATGGCTGAGATACGTCGGTTGTACAGGAAGAGAAACGTCGATTGCAGACTGCAGTCACCGTGGATGGGGTAATACAAACTGCTACCATAATGAAGACGTTGGAGTGACGTGTAAGATGGGTACGTTAATAAAAAAACAAATGTGTACCCCGTTGAATGTCATGTC